CTCCAATTCCACTAGAAAACACTACACTTAATACACCATTAGCACTGTTTCTGAAAGATTTCTCTTTATTTTATCTTAAAACTCGATTCTTAGGACATTGGATGCTGTACCCGAGTGGCCAGATTGGAAAAAGGAAAGCTACCTTTAAACTCTAATAACTCGTAAACTATAATCTTTCACAAAAAAAATTATATAACAAAAATGGTTATACTGGTCGATATCTTTACGAGAGTGCAGCATTTAACCCTTTAATGCAGTCTGTCATATATGAAACGCGTTTTAACCCTTTCAAGGCAGAGGCAAAATGGGTCTCAATATGTTTTCAACGCACTTTTTGTTTATTTTTATTTTTTATTTATTTTTATTTTTATTTTTAATATTTTTATTTTTTTATTTTATTTTTTTTATTTTTTTTTTTTATTATTATTTTACTATGGAAAAATTTTCTACGATTAATATCTACGTCAACATGAGAAAAAGCACGTTCAAAAGCATATTGGGAACCTTTTTCCTCTGCCTTGAAAGGGTTAAAAAGCGTTTCATATATGTCAGACTCCGCATTAAAGGGTTAAATGCTGCATTCCATTATCTCTTTTCTAAGCGAAGATCTACGATTTTGAAAAAAATCGTGTTTTGCCTATAGTGCGTCGCCCAGTGTTGCCACTGTTGGTCTTTTCCGACCAAATTTGGTCGCTTCTTTTTCATTTGGTAGGTTGGTCGGCAAAGTAAAATTTTGGTCGGATAGTTGAACTAAGTTTATAAATTCTTAATTATAAAAATATATATTTCAAACAAATTTTGAATATAAATATTTGCCAATTGTACCTTTTAATTATTAGCCAATCCTGCCTTTAGAAATAAGAAACCTAATTGGTTTGGTCACGATGGAGCCAATGTTATGGCTGGATACTTGGGCGGGCTAAAAACATTATTGAGTGCAGAAACCGATTTATTTTATATAAAGTGCACATGCACTCACTTCATCTTTGCTCAAGCTACGCTTGTAAAAAATTGCCGAAAAGCATTGAGACACTGTGCCGCAACATATTTAGTTTCTTTTCCCACAGTCCAAAGAGGATAAATAAACTGCAGGAATTTCAGGACTACTGTTCGGTAAAACCCCACAAAATCTTGGGCATATCTCAAACACGATGGCTTTCACTAGGAAGCGTTGTGTTTTTTATGGTTAAATTACTGACAGGCTTAAATTCAAGGCCGCTTCTTCTGGGTGAAGTTAGCCTTAATGTTCCATCCAGGGTATCAAGACACTTTTGTTCCCTTTTTTTGAAAACTTGTAAAACTAATTTTGAATTACACGAGCTACTCCGTTACTTATGCCACGATTTTAACTCTCATTCCAGCACATTTGATATATCTGATACGCTTTGCAGCATTAAGAAAGCGATTCTATCCTCTCTAAATAAATGATTGACTAACATAAATACATAATAATCAGCTGATGAATTTGGTTCTGTAGCTGAATAGTTTTAGATAAGGCGAACTTATACAAGGTGGTGTTACTGGCGAATTTAGGTTTTCACCGCGGTCCTTCTGAATGTCGAAATGTTGTAAACTAGGCGAATTCATATTACAACAAACACATCATTTTTACATTCAGAAGAACCTATCTAATCTAAATTCGCCAGTAACACCACCTTGTATAAATTCGCCTTGGTTTTAGATCTCGACACTTAATAAACTCCTGCCTTTCGTGACTCGGCGCAAAAATTTAGCCGGATGGGCGGGAATGGAGCAATGGGATAGTTTGAAACTTTATTTTATTTCCCGCTTTTACGAAGTAAACTGTATGCGATCTGCAGAGCTGGCAGAAGGAATGTGTTGCAAATCCAAATGCTATTTTTTATTTGTATCTTAAATTTTCCCCATAATTAACAATCTTAACAAAGAGTTCCAAGCTGAAAGCTCTCTATGCCATACTTATATGCAACTATCAAAGTACATTATCTCTAAATTTTGAGTAACTTGATTAAAAAAGGTGCGATCAGTAACATATTAATGTTGATTTTAAAAATGAATATAATCATGTTGAAATATCTGACATTTTTGTTAGAAAAATGCTGAGATGTTTATGAAAAGTGACGTCAATTGTTCTGGAATCCTTGATCTTAAAACCAATATATTAAAGTTTTACATAGAGTTTTTGGACCAAATAAGTTTAAGTTTTGATTTCCAGCGTGAAGATATAAAACTTTTACAAATAATAACACCAGCTGAGGTAGTTTCTAACGAAGATTTACCAATTTTACCCCTTTTGTTAAAGTTTCCCCATCTCATAGATTGCGTTCCTGATATAATAACCACGCAGTGGAATTTACTGAGGCTAAGTGAGCTTGATGTGTGGTCAGCTGCTAAAGATTTGCATGTGCAATTAATTGATTTAAATTTACTTTAAAAAACAATTAACTTTGTGGTACATAACATGTACATATGTATATAATTCATAGAACCAACAAAATTTTCAATGATCTCATATCTGTGCCTAAGACTGTGTCTGCATTTATTTATTTCTTGTTTGTTTTAAAATGTACAAAGTACATATATGTATGTATGTAATTGTTTTGTATTCGGAACTTTTGATCTTAAATAGATGAATTGTATGCTTTCAGAATCCTTTTTTGTAATTGAAATTTATTTGGTAGGTTGTAAACGATTTTGGTCGGATTTGGGAAGAAAATTGGTAGGGGGGAAAAATTGTTAGTGGCAACGATGGCGTCGCCTGTGGGCATTCTTTCATATATGTATGTATGTGCCATTTCTACCGTTATATATTTTTTGTCTACTCGGTTATTCCCTGGGGAATTCATGCTTTATTTAAATTTAAAAAATTAAATTACTACACCATTTTAATTAATTAGTGTGTAGTCCAGTTTTGTTTTGTAGAAGTTTCGTTAGTATACACTTCAGTTTTTACACATTCAATATATCTGCATATTTATATATTTACGCGTATCTATTTACATTTATTTATGTACAAGTCTACAAAATCTTACTACTTATAAAGCGATTTTTAATCTTCGTTGCTTAACACACATTTTTTCAATTACTTCTTGTGTTGTAATCGGCACATCATTATGTACCGCTAACATCGTTAAACCATTCAGCCGCTCCTTAATTGTATAAAAAGAAGGGACAAATAAGATAGCATATTCAACAATTGAGTAGTCCACTTGCAAAGTGCGTTATGTAAATTTTATTTTAGATTTTTAGTTTTTGGTGGGTTTCATGTCCACTAACAGCAGAGTGAAAATTTTTTCTATATTCTGAAAAAATAGCATGAAATGTTAACTACTCTTGCAAAAGTCGCTATAATACTTATTTATACACTTTCAAATGTCTCTGCCTAGTGGAAGAGGTCGCAAAAAAGAAGCAAACCAATCTTCCTAGAGGAGAGAACGCGAAAAGCTAAAAAAAGCTAGCTATGTAAAAGTTACTGTTTCAAAACTTGCAATATTAAATTTTTAAATATAAAATTTGCAAATCTACCATACTGCAATTTTATTTTTTTAATGGTATTAGGCTCTTATTTATCCAAATTTTCAGGTAATAAAAAAGATACAGTTCGGATGTTACCTGTTGTCGTAGACGTTTTTTTTTTTAATTTATGATTTACTTTTGTAAAATCACATAACGCTGTTTGCGAGTGGACTACTCATATATTCATTAAAGGATAATTTGTCATCCGTCTGAAATAAAAAAATTTTAAATCAGAAGGATAAAATAGTATTGTGTTATTAATTCAAAAGTAAATAATTGTAGTTCAATGACATACATATTTCCCCACCGCTATGCCACTGCTTGCAGCGATATGCACTATGAAAAATTCGATTTCTATGGGAGGTTCCACACCCCCTTTAGATATTGGTTTTGCTTTAGCCTATAACCATTCTTGGAAAATTTGTGTCCGAAATTTAAAAAAAATCGGTACAGCCAGTATGGGCATTGTGACTCCTCAAGCGAAATGAACTAATGGTTGCAAGAAATGAAATCAAACATCATAGTTGACCAAAAAAGAATATTAGACTTCATTCTACCAAAGCTAAGAAATATATAATAAGATAGGATATATTAAAACAACCTTCAAACATTTACTAAACCGCCCCTGAACTACACAAATTTTTATTTTTCGCTTTTGGGTGTGTCAAAATTTCATGTGAAAACAATATGTGTTGCTGGAAAAATTTCACGACCCATGGGTCCCAAAGTAAATTCCATTTGCTGTTAAATGGGCAAAGACAATATGTATCAAATAACACATCGAAAAGTGTAATTTCAGTGTCTGAATTATATCAGAATTATCGTATCCGATATGGAAAACTACATTGTGAAATAATCAGATGACATGAGGACACTAAAAAAATTTTAAAATATGTTCACTAAAATTGTATTAATATTAAAATAATGATTTGGCAAGTTGTTGTCGATTTTAGCGTAAAATTTAAACGTTTTTAAGATAAGATATTCATTATCTTTAAAAGGTAAATATTAATACAACTATTTTATTCATAATCCAAAATTTAGGATATAAAATCTCCCACCCCAAAAAACTTTCAATTGGGTAACGCCGCTCCGAATTTGTCACAATTGAGCAATTGTCAAAAATCTGCTTTTTAATCAAAAAGTTGTTTATTGAAACTCCTAACGGAGTTATAAAGGAGGTCAAAACCCATAAATCTCTCGTAATGCTCCGAAATCAAAGGGAGTACTCTTTTATTGCTCACATTGGGAGATCTCCCTTGAAGTTCTGGTGTATATTTAATTTTTAAGCATATATACATACATTTACATATATGGATGGTCATCTGCAATAAACTGATAAGTGGCTCATACCTCTAATCCATGTTCAATCCTTACTCAAGTAAGTAATAAGGATTAGACGTGGGTTAGACAAATTAAACTTTAAAGAGCAAATTTTTCGTTGCCCAAATTATTACCTGAATAAATGTCAATACTTATTTCAGTAAACAAATTTATTTTAACAGGTAATCCATAGAACGTTTACCAACCGCAGAGGAAATGAATTACATCATTCGGGATGGAATGCTTGCTCCAACTGTTACTATGTTGATTCTAATGCTAAAGAAATCCCTAAACGTGACAAATTAATATTGCCTTCGATAAATTCTGATTTCATTTATATTTTGGATGTCGTATCTGACCCACGAAAGCCTTCTTTATGGAAAACTATAGATGGAAGTGTTCTTAACAGTCATAATGTTACTGCTCCTCATACCACACATTGTTTGGCTGATGGAAAAGTCATGATTTCCACACTTGGTGATGCTGACGGTAACGCTAAAGGTGACTTTATTTTATTTGAAGCGGAGAATTTCAGCTGCCTAGGCACTTGGACCAAAGGAGACCAAACGGCATTATGTGGATACGACTTTTGGTATCAACCATATTTTGACGTCATGATATCAACAGAATGGGGAGCTCCCAAAAAGTTTAGACGGTATGTTGTCATTGCTTATTAAACAGTTAATTATTTAATTACTATGCAAGGCAAAGAGCAGAGTGTCCAGACTAGGCAAATTAGCGCCAAATTGGCGATTTTTTGTTGGATATTTGCGCGTAAAAATTTAGGAAATCGCCTTGGGCGATTTTTCCTTTTCAAATAAATTTTTTGGGCACTACCATTTCGCTCGCGAACCGCACTTAATGCCAAATGTGCGTAACCACGGTTAGATGCTAGCTTTCAACTGGTTTACGTAAGTTACACCTTTTCTTGTAGTGCGGTTTAGAAATAAAAAACACTGATGCTTTGTATTTTTATATTTAGGATTTCATCAAATATGAAGATTGAATAGCTCAATCTGTATACTTATTTTTAAAGGTATTTTTCTGTTACCAAACGATATCTCCTTTAATATTTGATCACACTTAATGAATTACATCTCATTTTGAAGCAGGGAAGCTCATATACATACATTTTTAGTAACGTTGTTCAAATCTAGTTATTTATTAAAAAAAGTGGGTTTTAAAAAGCTGAAAGCACTGGATCCGGTCAATAAAGCGCCATATCTGCCATAATACTCCATAATGTTAAATGTTTGAAACGCCATTTTGAAGAAAAGTTCACTGATTGATGCAAAAATAAAAAACTTTTTTATAAGGGTTGCTAACCGCTTGAAATTTTAGTGACTAAATACATAGATTTTGACAAAAAATTTGTCTTAAAAATATTAATCTTTACATGCATCTTTATATTTTTTTTCAAAGTTATTTTCCTGTTACCAATCGATATCTCCTTTAAAATTTTTAATTTGGAAGGAGAGAAGTTCACGTAATATGCACAACTTCTCCATTTCTCGGACCTCACTATTTGGGATGAGATATCGATGGTTCCCAAAGAAGCACTGAGCGTAGTAGTAGATCGACTTTTGGAAGACATAATGAATAATAGTTTCCTTTTTGGAGGCAAAGTCCTTCTGTTTGGTAGAGAATTCCATCAAGTGTTATCTGTCGTTAGACATGATAGTAGGACGGACATCGTTGAAAGTTTAGTTAAGGGATCACCTTTATGGCGACAGGTTAAAACTCATGAGTTATCCGTGATATGCGGGAATGTTTTTACTGAATGGCTACTCTAATCAGGTATTGGCGATTTAGAAGTTCACACGGAATACTCCAATGAAGCTATTAAATGTTATTGTAATTACAACAGTATTATTATTTCCGTATTCAATGTCACGCAAATTGATAATAACAATACTCCCTAGTTTTATTCAGCAGAGATATTATGTCCAAAAATGATGATTGCACAAAAATTAATGAGCATATTATTTCCAATCCGTTATTTGGTGAAGAAACGATTTACCTCAGTTCAGGTTCTGTTCAACAATATGTGAGCAATGATCAATTATATCCTATAGAATTTTTGAACTCCCTGAATCAGTCGGATTTACCACCCCATAAACTAATTTTCCAGTCATGCCTTTCCAATTAGTATGAAAACATTTCCCGGTAAAGGTAGCCTTTGCTACGACAATTAATAAAGTACAAGGTGAGGCTTTAAAAGGCCCGGGGCGGATCTCTTCAAAGCTCACTGTAGATTTTATATTGACGCGCACAGAGCAAAATCTCTCTCTGTGCATCACTGATCTACTGGTAGAATCTGTTTTTTTTGCATGGGCTATAGGTGGCTTTTTCAAGAATCTTTCAACCGAAAAAAAAGATCACTGTATCACTTCTAACATTCACCTTAAAAACTGCATATTAAACTTCCACTGAGGGGTGGTATTTTTCTACCAGAATCTGTGTAAATATACGAATACGATGTTCAAGATTTGATTTTGAGCATGAGATGTTCAAAATATGCCTGCACATAAATATGTACGTGAAATGTTTAAAATTGCGAACATTTTGAAAATAAAAATACATTTACTACTAATAATAAAAATTAAGTGCTCATATTTACTTCATTTTAAACATTTTATGTGTAATGTTACTCTACGCGAAAGATTTGGTATGTAACAGTAACTAGCCGGTGTTTAATTTTATTACACGGGGTGTTTAGGAAGTAATGGTTTTTAGCTTCCTCTTAAATTCTTCAACCAAATAAAACGCAATTCTTAAGGCTCGTACAGCTATGCCAAGATAAAAGAAAACTTATTTTTCCCTTTTATTTAACCAGCAGACCTGCTTATAAGTAGCGCAGTGATCATACATACATAATTAGAATGTTCATACATATGTAGATATACAGCAATAAACAACTAGCTCAGCAAAATAATAATAATATATAACTAGGTCAGCAAACATGTTATCTCCCTACATATGTATGTATGTATAGTGTAAATAGCAATTCAATATAAGGAATCAATGTGACAAAAGGAATATGTTAAAACAAATATATATGATGAGAAATAATAGTAGAGCACAACTCCGTAACATGCCGGCGACCTTGATCTGTCCACTACCAGATCAACTCGCATCATTCAGGCGGTGGAATCAGAGCTACTTTGTGAATCGCCCGTCAAATGCATCCATGTTTAATTTTAATGTCTATCACCCGAACGTGACCTGCTTCATCTCGCACTGCTTTCACAACTCTTCCGATTGTCCAACATTTGGGAGGTAGCTTTTCGTCTGCTACCAATACCAGGTCCCCTTCAGCAACGTTGCGTATTTTTGTTGTCCATTTTGATTTACACTGCAGCTCATGCAAGTACTCAGTTGACCTCCTTTTCCAAAAGTGCTGTTGAATCGTAGTAAGTCTTCGCCAGCGGTTCAACAGCGAGACCTTTTCATCTTCAATGACAGGCTCCGATATTTCTACCAGCGGTTTGCCTACCAGAAAATGTGCGGGTGTTAAGACTGCTTCGTCGTCTGAATCCGTAGACATTGCAGTCAATGTTCTCGAATTTAATGTTGCCTCGATTTCTGCCACGACCGTGCTAAGCTCTTCATAAGTCAGAAACGCGCTTCCACTTATACGTGTGAGGTGGTATTTTGCTGATTTGACCGCCGCCTCCCACAAACCACCAAAATACGGGTAGCGCGGTGGAATATGACGAAACCCGATACTGTTATTGAGTAAAAAGTTCGAAATTGTACACTCTAAAAAATTTTTGTCTAAATTTTAACATATTGAGATAGGTAACCAGATTCCTCTCTTAATGAATGCAAATTTACACACCGTGTTAATTAAATTAAACACTGCTTGCTTACTTTTACTTATCATATGTGGGGCGTAGATCGGCCGCTGTGGTGTAGTGGTAAGCAGTGCGTGCTTCCACTCCGCAGCACCTGGGTTCAAGCCCAGGTCTAAGCAACATCGCAAAAAATTTAGAAAAAAGGTTTTTTCTTAACAGCGGCCGACCCTCGGCAGGCAATGGCAAATCTCCGAGTGTATTTCTACCATGAAAAACAGCTTCCCATAAAAATACAATCGCCGTTCGGAGTCGGCGTAAAACTTTGTGTAACAACATCAAGGCGCACGCCACAATTTGGAGGAGGAGCTCGGCCAAACACTAACATATGTGTAAGCGCCAATCTATTATTATTATTATGTGTGGCGTAGAACAAATTTCAAATTTGTTTTTTTTTTGAGTTTTAAACATTAATTGTTCACATTTTCACAGTTTACACATAAAATGTTTAAAAATTCCTCTAATAAATTTTCGTTTAAATTTACGCATATAAAGAGAGGTAACCAGGGCTCGAATCGTAACATCCGTTCACGGATCGAAAACCATACGAAAGAAAATTACGTGATACCGTCAGTCGTTCATAATCCGAAAACTGTGTTTTTACTTGACGAGTAATACGATCTCGTATGTGACGATTCGAGCCCAGTTTCCTCTCCTAGTGTGTGCAAAATTCAACACTGTCTGTTTACTTTTACATATCAAATTTGTCACGTAGCGCACACAAGGGGTTTGGGGTTAACTTATTATGATTTAAGAAATTTTGATAGAAAAAAATTTCTTTCCCATTTCTTGTGCGCCATTTTGGAAGAATTTTTCTTTTTTCTTGAGAGCTCTTTAAAGTTTAACTGCGAGTGAAAACATTGTCCTAAAAATATGCAATGCATACTCACTTACTGTTGCTTTTTACGCTTTACAGCCTAAAAAATTTTACTACTGATATGTACTTAATAAGCATTCGAAGACTTAATTTGCTAACTTGGAATTCATTCCACCAAAATGAGCTACATACATGATAAAATTACAAGTTCAGTTAAATTTTCGTTATTCGAAGTATTAAAAAATGAGAAACCAGAAATCGACGAAAATGAATAAAACAGTGTTAAAATTTCGTTAAATTAATTTATTTATTTATATTAAAATTCTTTTGTAAAATTTTGTATTACTTTTGAAAGCTGAGTGCATCTTTAACCGTTAATTTTTTCATGATTTAATGATCGGATCTAAACCAAATTACGGGACGACCCTTAAGGTACCATCTCTCCGGTAAGAAAAGAATTATTGGAATCGATTCACGCGGTGCAAAGTTATGCGGTGGAATAAATAAAAGAAGTAAAAATATTCCGAAGAATTGATAACCTCCCCTTTTTTGAAGCCGGTTGAAAATGTCTGAGTTCTTTGTAAATTTTATGTAAATAAAATGCATTTTTGAAACTTTAAAAAGGTTATTTATTTATTTCATACTGTACATAAAACTTGCATAAATGTACTTTAAAGAGCGAATTTTCAGTATTTTCTGATGATATATATTTAGAGGTATAAATCCTTTCCCCCCCAAAAATATATTCTTGCGTGCGCCCCTGGCACTTAGTATTTCTTATTTGTAAAAAATATATTTTTACTTTCAAAATGTTTGTAATTTTAAACATTTCATGTGTATATTTATGTGTAAATTTTAAACACCTCATGTTCAAAATCAGATCTTGAACATCTTGTGCGTATACTTGAACAGATGCTGGTTGAAAAATAAACACTTTTCAGTAGTAGTTTTACATGCACTTTTTAGAGTGTACCTTGAATTTGTTGATCATTGAAGGCTTCACTAAATTCCTTCAGTTCAC